AAGCATTTTTACGATGGCTGTTTCACAATCCTTTCCAATAATAGCTCTAGAATCTGTGTCAACTCAGTGTTGGTATTAGTTGATTGTCTTTTCTCAATGACTTTCTATAGAAACCTGAACATTCTGAATATTATGAGACTCTGGATCTTATTTAGTTTTTATTTTGGCGGACATTGTTCTGATGGGGAAATGGGATACTCGGGTTTGTTATTCCCAGGCAGCGATGGAAGTTCAGGTTCCCCATTCAGCCTTCACTGATATTTGGGTAAGGAAAATGGGACTCCTGGTGACTGCTGGGTAGGGGCAGCATTCCAGGGCCCTGCTGATGCCACCCTGGCTGGGAAAGGAAACGGTGCCTCATTACTGCTCCTCGTGTGGCCTCCACTGACACCATGTGGTGGTGGCTTCATCACCCCTGGGCAGTGGTCAAATCCGGAATCTCCACCAGGCCTCCTCTGTCACTTTCCCAGTGGGGAAAGAAAGGGAACATTTTTACCACCGGGTGGGGCTAAAGGTCTAGGCTCCCCAAGATACCATCCCAACAGGGGAATGCAGCACCTTGTTACAAACTTGCAAGGATTAAAGTCTAGGTGCCTCACACAGCCTTTCTGAATGATGGTAAGAGAGCCAACACTCTTCTGTGCTGTCTGGCCAGAGTAGAGGGTTTACTGTCTAGAAGTTTTCTGCCTTCCTAAGCTGCCCCTTAGCTCGTCCTTTGGCTAGAAAGAGCAGGCTTTTGTTTGCTTTGTGTTTTTGGTTTGCGCCTGTTGGCTTTTCCAAGCTGCCCATTTCTCCAACATCCAGCCTAGAATCTGTGAGACAGAAGAAGATGCAGAGATTGCTCACCACACAGTCCATTGGGTCCCATGGTCACCAGCCAGTCTTCCTTCTACTCCCTGTTTTTCACAGTCTTCTTATGTTTGTTTTCTATATAATGTCCTGAGTCTTAGTGTACTTAGCAGAAAGAACAGGGAAAAGGGCTTCAACTCCATTTTTCCAAAAGTAAAAGTCAACACTTTTGATATCATATAAAAGATAATAGATAATATTTTTGCCATGCTGTTTAGATAAAGGACAGGTTCCTATTAATCTAGCTCAATTCAATGTTCCCTCAATGAGCAGATACCCAAATACGGATGCTTCTGTGTACCCAATGAGAACAGTTATTTCATGTCATCATAGAGAATACTACTTAGGAGCCTTAAAAAAATAAGTACCAATCTCTCAACATCTACTCAATTTGAGCAATCTCCACAAATTTGCTCAATCACATTTTAGCTACACAATAGAAACTCCTGTGTTTTTCCAACAGCACATCAACCTAAGAATTCTGCCTGGCAAGCATCAGACAAAGTTGGGAAGCTATCCTGATTATAAAATGCCAAGGCACTTGAAATAATAAATAGTGACAGGTTTACAAAATACGTGGCATTTCTTATAGCAATGGCTTATATAGCATCCTACTGAAGTGGTATCTCAAGGAGTGGCAATGAATTTCGTCACTCCAGCCCTACCTTCTTCACCAGCTAACCCTGTGAACACTAGACACACACCCACATGCTGGACGGCTCTCCGGCCACACACCAACCAGGAGAGTTAACTGGACATGAGGGGATCACTTCTTGGCACCATTACTTACTCTGGTGTTCAAGGCAGTGTTCCTCTTAGACATTTTTTTTTAACTCTTTCTTTAAACTCACAGGAAGTTCTAAAAAATAGCACAGAATCCCATGTATTCTTTACCCAGGTTCTCCTAATGGTGACGTCTTATCTAGCTACAGCACACTATGAAAACCAGGAAATCGACGTTAGTCCATTGCTGTTTAGTACCTTATGGACTTCTTTATCCTTTTTATAGATAAGATATACAACAGGGAACTTTCTCAGAAAGTCTCCCAGCACTTGGACATCCTATCACCAAACTACCAATCGAGGCTTCAAACACAAGTGCAAATTAACTATATATAACCATCCTTATACACTCAAACATATGTTCACTCTATACATTCATATCTGACACACACAAACACCAAAGTTTGCACCTACACACGCGCAAACTTTTATGAAAACAATAGCAATCCATCCTTCTCAGCCAAGTATGTTTTTCTACTATTTACTACTTTCCCCCTGCTATTACTACATGAAGATTATGTGTAAATGAATCTGAGGGCTAAAAGAAATCTTTAAAAGTTATATAATGTAAAATTCCAGTCAAAGCTTTAATTCTTCCACAACAACCCACCAATGATTCTTCAGCTTTTACTTGACTATCTCTAACGACATGAAACAAATGGAATCCAGTCCTCCTTTGGTCAATCCTAATTCTTGCAAGGTGTCTCTAATCATTAACCAAAATTTTGATAACTTATACTCATTTAGTTCTGGTTTTATCCTCTGAGGAAATTAACAAGCAAGTCGTATCCCTTACTACCTTTCTCCCAGGACAAAAAGACATCCTGGCTTGTCCAAGATGCTGTTCTGGCATAATTACTATCCCCTTTCACCCTCAGGATTTGAAGAAACGTTATATAGTCCCTCTAAACTGGGTAGCCTTCAAAAATATGAAGATTACATGTGTTTTTATCAGGTTAACCATTGCTCATTTTTCAGCTGTTCTTCATATGATAGGATTGGGAGGGCCTTCGCCAGCCTTATCGTTCTTGCTTCTGAACGCATGCCAGTTTATTTATAATCCAAGAGCCCTAATGCCTAGATTCCCTGTTGCATGTATATGTTAACGAAGGATTTTCTAATCCCACTTACAGAACAGAAAGTCACTTACGTACCTCTGAATACTAGACCAAGATGCATCTATGGAAGTACTGTCTCTCAGGTAGACAGACACACCTGAGAGTCTTGAACAGTGGTACTAGTTAGTAGTCTCACAGTACACCAGTAGGTGTCAGTCTATATAGAATATAAAGTTATTTAAGTTTCGATTCATTCATTAAATATTGATTGAGCACCCTTAAGTGCCAGGCAGGATCCTAAATGCTGAAAATATACAGGTGAACAATAAAGACACACAGTCTTGTTCTCGGGAGTTTACGGTCTAGATATTAATGAACAAATCTGCTTTATCTACTTTCTTTATAAAACTTATAAAATCCTACTTCTGGGGAAATTCTACATTCCTAAGTTAATAGACATTTTAACTTAAGATAACTCATAAAGGACAAATACTGTAATGAAACAGAATCAGAGAAACTGTTCTGTGCAGGCTAGATTAATGTACCCTGCGTATTTTCTAGCTGTTTGAATTTATTCAACACTTCTAAACTTCAAGTTTCTAAACCTAAATTTTACATATTCCTCAGTCCAATGGATAGGGATCCATCTTAAAAAATAATTCAAAAGTTTAAAAATCTACCTATTTATGTTCTTACATAGTAGAGACTATGTTACAAATTTTAAAAGCTTATTTGCAAAGCTTATTTAATTCCTGTACATGTTTCCTTATCTCTACTTAGGAAAATTAAATGTCACCTTCTAAACACGAAACACACTTCCCAGGTTAACAGAATAAAGACAGTAATGAATTATGCCTCAGGAGAGACTTGAGGAATTCCTCCACTGTCAAAAGTCCTTAGTCGAATAAACCAGGACTTCAAGGTGACCTACTCATAATTAGAGCTTAGCAGTGAAAGGACACACTTTGTCAAAATAAACAGATCTAGGAGAGGGAGCAGGTACTGTACATCAAAAAAGTTGATTTGCCTGAACAGAAATCCAAGAACCTAGAAGCTATTCAATTCCTACATTACTTTTCTGTACTCTCAAATAGAATGTTCTCCAAACTGGTAAAGCTAGGGAAAACATGGTTAAGGCATTATTTCAGGTCAAAACTCGTACTGCTTAAAATTCTTTAAGTTCAAAATTTAGTCATACGAATTTATTTGAGAAAAATGATGCTTGTAAGAATTTAATAAGACACTGACAGCTTCAAATAATATCCAACCCAATGTTCCCTTTGGAATACCTCAAACTATTAATTACTGTCTAAATTCCCTGATATATAAGGCATATTGTTCAATTTTATCATGGGACCACATGCATACTTTACAAAACACAAGAAGCATGCAGTGAATGTTAAGTTACAAATGACCACTAAGGTGCTTCATAAAAGACAGTTAATGTAAAAAAGATCTACATTATTTTTTACCTTAATATTACATAAGATATTTTCTTTGACTTTAAAGGTATAGTAGTGATTGATCAAATATATTTAAAACACAGTTTATTGTGTATGGTTTTTAAGTTACACTTATAAATTCTCTGAGAGCCTCAGTACTAGGTATTAATGTTTGGCATATCTCAGATGTCACCAAATTGGGGGGAACTCAATGGCAGGTATCTGTTATCTCAGTGTTTTTATTCCAAATATAAAAGTGTTGGAGGGTGGGAGTTAGTGTATTGGAAAAAGCACAGCTTTTGAAGTCACAAAGATCTAGGTTTGAATTCCAGCACTACTCTAAATATCTATGTGATTTGGGGACAAGTAACTTAACCTGTTCTAAAACAACACTTTCCCACCAAGATGCAAGTAACAGAGTTGTGAGGAGGATTAAATATAAAATGCCTAATGTATGATCTGACACATAGTAGGTGCTCAATAAATAGTTATTAGGAGAATGCCATTTTTCTTTCTTACCGTTAGGTTGACTATACCAGTTAATACTGAACAATTACTGACTCACAAGTCTTTGTAACTAACACAAAGTGTGTCTTTACCCTGCTGTTTAAAAAACCAAACCCCTTACTCCACTGAATGCCAACAAATATGCACCTTCTCCTTTAGCTCCAATATATTTTGCATGACCTTACATAAATTGCTTAGATAAAAGCTTTTTTCTCTTCTGCTTTTGTTATTTTAAAGTGCAGATGCATTTGAGTCATTTTCTCCTTTTGTTTCATATCCTTAAGATCCAAAGCTTCAAAGACATAATGTCAGCATGCAGTCGATTTATAACTGAACTCTTGAAGAGACACTGAAGAATTACCTTGTCAATCACCCCAAGGACTCTGAAGGCCTTCAGCTCCTCGGCAGGGCTCCTTAGGTTCCAAGGGGGCCTTGAACTTAGTGATCCTGGAGGCTAATGGAAGATATCAAAGATTATACATCAATCAGGGAGGTACTTGAAGGAAGACTGCCTGCTGAAGCAAATGCCAGGCCAAAAGAAACTAAATTTATCATAAATCAGAGACTGGAAACATGAAAGGAAAAGTTTCTGTTTGCCTGTAATGTAAAATGAAAAAATAATAAAATCAAAACTAAAGAAAATCAAAAAGAAAAAGCAAGAAAAAAGTTCCAAGTAAATAAATCATGATAACATTGAAAACAAAATTTTAAAAAGAAAAATTAATGAGATGACACAGTTTCTAGAGCAATAATTCAGTTCTGAACTGGACAACTATAATGAAACTTTGTAACAAATGGATAACTGAGCCAACAATCAATCACATCTTTATATTTACCCCAGACGGCTCAAGAGTAATTTAGAACAAGGAACTAAAAACAATGCTGTAATAGATAAACTTGAACACAAGTCATTATCTCTCATCATGAAACTATAGTCCATTAATGTTACTTTATAATTATATTATAAACTATGTTTTAAGAAGGATTGGCAGATTCAAGTTCAACCAGAAGAAATGTCAATAATGGTGAAAAATTAAGAAACTCCATCATATAACCAATAATTATTGGAACTAAACTTGTTTAATCTAGGAAGGAGATGATTTACAGGAGAAAAGAAAAGAAAATTTAAATATCTGAACATCTATAATGTGGAAAACTTAGTCTGTTAGCTATAAAAAGTCCACAAAGATCAGTAAACACAGGCAGGGATATTTCAGTACCACACACAATAAAAGAATAATCCTAACTTCCCATCCATTGGTCTTAGTTTTTCCCTATCTGTAAAATAAGACATTAGACTAGGTAAACTCCAAACCTCCATTTGGCATTTACAACCAGAAAACAATGCTATAGTAATCCTTATATTAAAATGGTGATGCTGCAGAGGATGACAGGAAACACAAAGCCTTATTATAGCCTCAAAGCAGACCTTTTATTGTCAAAAATCTATTAAGACTATATAGGAAATATGCCCCAAGCCCGGCCCATGAGTGGAAAATAAGTATCCTCGTTAATCAAGTGTCATGATTAACAGCTACTGAGACACCAGTTTTGGTACTTCAAACCCTTGTGCAGACGAACATCACCAGACAGGAAGCTCCTCGAGGACAGGAAGCACGCCTTATTCATCTTTATGTTCATAGTCCCGAGCACAGGAGTGAAGGGACAGGGGAAGAGCACACTAGAGAGGAAGAAGGGACAGGGGCAGGGGACGAGAGGGAGACGCCATATGAGAGTAGAAAAAACGTGTCATATTTACAAATGGAAAAGACGACTAGTGGAAAATACTTCAAAAAGCAGCAATTCTTGTTGCTTACAAATTTTGTTTTTAGTTGGTGTAGCCAGCTACTACTATTTATACTCCGGCAGAAGTGATGTTCTATTAAAAACAGAAGACGACTACTTTCAAAACACACTGAACTTTAATAATGGCAACTGGACTGAATAATCATCTTTTTAAATCAATTTCATTTATACTTCCAGGATATGTTTTAAAGAATACTTATTTCTCATTCCATGAGGTGCTGAGCTAGGTGACATAAAAAATATTGGGTTGTCAGAAAAGTCATGACGTATTTTTTCTATGTTTTTTGTTGCAAAAATGCGTCATGACTTTTCCGACAACCCAATAGATACATCTCTGCCTCTATAAAAGCTTAAAATCCAAGAGGAATTTTTAAGAATATAAAAACATTTAGCAGGATGTTTTAAGACACATAACAGAAATAGTCTTTTCTATCTTAATTTATATTATATTTTTCCACCTTTATTTCCTCACTCCACCCTAAGCATAGTACTTACAAGAAGTTACTTTAATCTCCATTTTACAGATAAATAAGGGGAAGTTTAGAATGGCTGACTGGTCAGAAAGAGCAGTGGAAGATCCCAGACTAGAGCTCACCTCTATTGCTTGCAGTCTCTCTATGACGCAACACAGTCTGATAATTAAAGTCATCTCCTCCTACTCTATTATCAAGAAAGAATAAGAACTGCTCAAGATTTTGGTAAAAGGAATGTTGAGAAACAGTTAGAGTAGGAAAAAGAATAGTTTAAATGATAATTAATCCATTACATACGTCTTTGGAAATATGGCCAAATGATTCCAACATCCCTATCTCCTACATACACCTTCTTATTCACTGATGTCACTGGATCTGTCAGTTTCCAAAGAAAGTTATCAGTTCACTTTAGCAATATCAACAGCAAAGATAACAAAGTACAAAATCTCTACTGCACCTTTCAATACATAATTCCTATGTGTCCACTAGATGCATGATAACTGAAAAAAGATATAAACTGTCAAAAAGGCACAGTTACTAGCTTCAAGAAGTTTACAATTTATTTGAGGATATAAGCCAAATACATGAAAAAGTTAAATAACAATAAAACTTCTTCTAAAACTATAAGACAATAGAGATAAGTCACTAGTTAGTGTATGATAAACTGTGGTCTCAGAAAGAAGTGGAATTAAAGGTGATTTTTAAATGCTATGTAGAAATTTAGGTTAGAAGGAAATTATATATAGGTTTGGAAAGTAACTTGCCTGGTGAGGAAAAAAAATGATCAAATTGTAAAACAGAGGGAAATAAAATTACACACTTAGGGTCAGTCAGTTTTCACAGGCCTTGAATGCCAGGAAGAAAAGTCTGGCCTATATTGTCCAGAGTGTAAAAAACAAGTTTTTGCACGAGAAACAACCCAATGAAAACAGTGATTTAATAAGGTTACTTTTGTAAAGATGGGAATGGTGAAATTGTAATGGGGAAAGACCAAAGGTAAAGTGATCATTAAAGTTCTCTTTCTACTGTAGCCATCTCTAAAAGTTTAAAATCAAAGAGATGAACAAAGAAAGATCATGAAATAAAATCATCAATAAAAAAATCCTGTATTTCTTATATGCAGCGTTTAAATTGGGTAGAATCCCTATAGATCTCTTCCTTTTTTCCGATGGCAAAAGGAAACATAAATCTACAGAATGTGAAGAACAGAAAGAGACAGAGATCAAGTCCAACGTTCTTTTTTTTTTTTTTTTTAGATGAGAAAACTGAGAAGCATCAAGGTGAAACAACTTGTCTAAAATGACAAAACTAGGTAACAGGTAAGAGGGGATTAAATCGTACTGATGAAATAATAGGACATTGTTCGGGGAAACTTCAGCCAATGCTATGGGTGTGGGGGAGGAATGCAGTGTATTTCTAGACAACATGGCTTCTTTCCTTAATGAAAAAGTAAAATGTTCACTTCTATGTATTAGTTACTGTAGCAGAAGATGCCTGGAGAAGCAAGGGGTAGTTGTATTCATCTAAACCAAAACTAAATACAGGGGTTATGGGGGGAGGTTGGGGCAAGAACATATGATGATCCAACGATCTTCAGAACCAAAGATAGCAAGTACATATCACTCACAGAGATCTCTGTTAATCCCACATTCTTTCTCACAATACAGTGCTCTCTAGATTAGTTAGCACACCAGTAGGACCTATTTACTATCCCTCTTCTCATTCTCTAAATGGCTAAGTGAAGCTTACCTTTGTGTTTTATGGGATTTTTTTTTAATTACTGTTTATCCAGCCTTGTCTTTTTTCACTTGATATTACTCCCTGTTCTCAACGTGATCTATCTCTACTTTTACCAATCTGCGAGTGCAGTACTTCTCAAACTTGAACATGTGTGCATGTCCTCTGAGGACCTTGTTAAAATGGAGATTCTGATTCACTCCAGGGGGGAGTGGGGGAGGCTAAGATTCTGCATTTCCAACAAGCTCCCTCTGTGATGTGATGCTGCTGGTCTAGCAGCCACATTTGGAGGAGGCTCAGCTATTCCTCCTGAAATAACCTCAGAGTAAGTCACCACTACTTGGGGGGAAATAAGTATTATAGTCAAGGGCAAAAGGAAAGCACTACAAAGAACTTACCCAGAACCCACACCATGAACCCTGATAGCTAACTACACTAGTTTCTGAACTTGGCTTTATATTCTACAGATTTTTGGCTTTGCCGAGGCTTTTATTAGGAACCTATTAACCCTCAATATCCCGTCTCCAAAGCCTCTCTTAGAGCCTCTCACATTTCAAGCATGACGCTTCATCGCAGTCCCATTACTCACTCATCTGGAAGACCCGACTGCCATCTCTGCTTTGCCTATGTATACGAGTGACACAATACTCATTTTAAAATATTTTCTGAAGAACTGAGAAATATCAAATATACTAGCAAACAAAATGCACAACAGAAAAATAGTTTCAGTATTATTATAGCAACTGTACTCAAAATCTACAGAATATTCAGGGAAGGCATACATTCTACATATTAATTTTCATTTACACCTTGCAATGCCATGACAAAAAAATGTATTTACACTTTAGAAATTACACAATCTTTTATGTCCTAAATTTAGACTATTTACTTTTTCTAAATTTAATTGATCTTGAGTTTAAAATTCCTAGAGCTAAAAATAACAAAAAAAGCTATTCCCAAGTCTTTTCCAGGGAAATCCCCTTTTAATATTAATTCTTAAATCATTCAAAGTCATCTATAATTTTATTTCTAAAAAGGGAGAAAAAAAATATCTCCTTCAGTTAAGATTTCACTTTACTGAAAACAAAGCTCATTTCCTTTTTTTCCCTAAAACCTGTTCTTTTCTTGGAGCCTTTTAGTATTTAGTAATGGAGGAAAAAAACAGTAGGAGCTTACTTTTGCTCCTTTCAGTCCTTTTTGGAAAAGGGTATTACCATCAGTGACTGGGAATTCAGAATTTCTATATTTACCACTTAAGACTCTCATAAACAAATTCAATAAAACAAAAGCTTAAGCCATTACAGCATTCTCTGGTGGAGTGAGTCATGACCTGGACTGCAGCACCAAAGGGGAGAAGAGTAATCAACAAAAAAATTGTCAAACCAGACAAGATTCCTTTGTTTTCTTAATCAACCAGGCTAGAAAGAAGTGTTTGCACATGGATTCAAAAGAGAACTAATATCTGCTTTGCACAGAATTAAAGAGCTAAAAGAGCCTTAGAAACCATTTATACCAGTCCTTTCGTTGTGTTCATTGAAATTGAGGCCCAAAGTAGGTTAGAGAAGAGAAACAATGAATTCACCAAGCTAATCAATAACCTCTAGAAGACATTTAAGTTAAATTATAGATAAGAAAATATAAGGCCTGTCCCTGACCTAAATAAGGGCCAGGTTTAATAGAATAAAATGCACAGTGAAGATAAAAAGCCACTGCTCACCATAAAAGACAAACAACTTGCTCTAGAGCAAGAAACTCTCCTCCAGCCTCCTCGCCTAAGAACTGAAAAAGTCCTAGGATATCTAAATTGATTCACTAGGTACCCATATTTATCTTTCTGACCCAAGTTCCCATTATTCTACATGGCTCTTACCAATCACTCTCTTACTTCCTCAATTACGGACACATTTTGGGCCCTCAATTATACCCTAGGGTTTGCAAGAGCAGAGACTGTGTCACCATCTGTTATATCTAGTTTGATACTGTATACGGAGTCTTAACAGGTGCTTAGTGAATATACAACCTAATACAATCAACTTTCCTATATGATAGCTCTTGATTTATTTTCATTAGAAGCTATGCTTGAAGGGAAATTGTGACATATACTTTTTGGTTCCTGTCTCCAAGTCGAAAGCTTTACAGCAAGCTTTGTATGTTTATTTTCCTAAAAAGTTATTGCTCATAGAAGTGATTATGGGGAATGTAACAAGGGGTGGGTACGTAAGTGTGGCCTGAGTAGGTATAAATACATCAAAGTTAATGTTAATGGAAAGAGTAGAATACTGGTAATTCTGACTCCCTAAAACTTTTACAACATTTATATACAAGATGGATTTAGTAAAACAAGTACGTTCATAGAGACTCATTTTATTGAATACTTTTATTAATGTCCCCCAAAACAGAATTGAGAGTGTACACATTAGGATTGTACAAAGGGAGGGTTGTCAACCCCAAAGAAAATAAGAATTGCATTCAAAGTAATCTTTGGATAAATATTCCATTTCAAGAAAAAAAAATTTAATAGTGAAAAGTTAAAGGAAATAGTATAAAACAACAATGATAAAAAATAGGAAAAGATTAGCAAACAATACAGAACAGTCCCAATAATTAACAATTTCAAAATGAGTCAGCATATCTCTTATTTAAAACAGTCATTATGTTAGAATGAGTAACAAAAGTATATTACTTCCAAGTTGGAAAATAATCTTTTTGTTCCAAAAGGAATGGTCTAACATTTAACATCGAAAATTCTCACTGATAAGTATAGTTTTGATAACTGCATGTTTTAAAAGGTCACACAGAAAATAAAAAAGGCTCAGAAAATTAGCAACAAAGTTTTAATGCTCCAATGAATCAAGATTAAGTATTGAGCTGTTTTAAACTAGAAAATTGAGACATTTTATAATTTTTAGAAGTATATAAAGCATTTAAAAATGTAGAAAAAAGCATATAAAGGTATCTAAAGCAGTGTATGAGGGGAAATGAAAACAGGATTAAAACTAATTAATCTAATTTTATAAATGCAGCTTATAGGCTGGTCTTTTTATGAGACAGGCTCTCGACTTGTATTTGTGTGTGGGTGTGGGTGTGCGTTTCCATATATATGTGTGTGATTTAAAAAAAAAAAAAAAACTCATCTAATCCTAAAGACAACCCAGCAAGGAATTACTATTATTCTCTTTGTTCAGGTGTAGAAGCTAAGAGGTGGGGTTAAATATCCTGTCAATCTTCCATGGCTTCAAATGACAGAGTGGAGTATGAACAAGCCTGCTTGCCTCTCAGATCAATTCAGAAACTAAACACTTTCTCCTATCTCTAGAAGGTACGATTCTCAAATTGTATCAGAAAAAACTTAGTTTTATATAAGGAAAAAAATAACACAAAGTTTCTTCCAGAAATTTACTAAATCCAGACAGCTATGACATAAAAAAATAATAAGCCACACCCCTCTTAATTTCAAATGCATAAAAAGCTGCTGCAAAACTTATTCTCCAGAGCATCTGAGATCTTGCTCCCTGGCATATGTGTGTCATCAGTCTGGCTCAAATAAATTCTTATAAAAATTCTCTTTAAAAATAAATAAATAAATAAATAAATAAATAGCCACAACGTTCCTAATGTTTTGAGCATTTACCTGATTTCTACACCAGACTAAGGGTAGCCCCAATAGGCTAAATATCCCTGTTAGAATTATGCCTTTATAATTCCAGCAGCCACTTAGCCACTTATAGAATTTATGGTTAAATGATTAGTTTTAGCATGAATCAATAAAACTGTATAGGAACTGTACAAGAATCATAATTTAAGTTTAAAATGTTCAAATGAAATTTAGTATCAATTACTGTCATTCTACACATGAGACTATCAGGGATAGAATAAGGGACAAATGGCCAAGAAAGAGAAAGAGAAAGCAAGTCCCCTTTTATTCCACTTTGGTGGTTTGCTTTAATGCTTTCCTTTCCACTGATAACTTTAAGAAAATTACTGATAAAATGCCAAAGACCAAAATTCTCAAACATTCTAATTAGAAATAAAGCTGAGAGACAAGACAGCAAAAATGGCGAAAGAAAATACAAAATGGAACATAAGACATACCTGAGATACATCATCTAACTGAGGTTTTCTATAGAAGCTACACAGGCTCTCTGCTCGCATGAGATATTCGGCAGTTCTTCTCTTCACCGCTTCTCGCCGGGTAGGGCTGGACTCTCCTAAAAGGAGAAAACAAATGTCAGGATATGTGAAACATAACTTTCTTTTAACCAATCTGAAGGTTAACTTCGTTCTACCCAATTCACCACTTGTTCACACTTCTAACTGAAAAGAAAAGAGATTCAAAACTGGAATAAAGATCAAAGTGATTAATATCAGCAAGGTCTAAATATCACCTGCATGAATTTATTTATCCAACTTCTGAAACTCTATTTAAATATGTATAGAGAACTTGATAATATTTTATAGGAGTCATCAATATATAAGAAATGTAGTGGGCCAGCTAAGTGGCTCAGTTGGTTAAGAGCTGGCTCAAGAATGCGAGCTCTGAGCAACAGCAGTTCGATTCCCGGCCCAAGCTGAGCTGCCAACAGGTGGCAGGATGGCTCAGCTAAAAAAAAAAAGAAATATAGTATAAAAAGCTCTGCAGACAAAACACTAGCCTAGTCCACACAGTATACAGTTGTTCAACTCAACCAATAGGACAATGTGCAATAGATGTTTAATAAGACCTGTGACATGGATACGACATGCTATTATCTAAAAGTACCACCAAACTGGAGAATAAAATTAGGGTAACTGAATTCAGTCTAATTGACTTTTGTAAGTGTCATGGTTTTTTCATTAACAACAAATTGTCATCCATCCTCCAAATGAAAACAACAATGTGATTGAAATCCCTGTAATACATAATTATGTGACAGTGGCAAGTCATTTACCCTGTCTAGCTCTGTTTCCCTAAACAAGAGGTATTCAAAGTGGCCTCCAAAAAACTCCAGATCGCAGAAAAGAGGCCGTCCAGCCCATGGTGTACTGGGCTCTCCCTGCTCCAGAGCACGATGATCCTATGCTTTTGTTCATTTCACATAGCACTTCACAGTGAACGTTTCATGGCTGAAAGTCAAAAACTTTAAGAACCACTGTACTACTTATGATCTCAAAGGTTCCTTTCATAAATAATATTCCGTACTATTCATGACTCATTTTTATCAAAGCACTTAACACACAGTACTGATTTTATAATTGACCCTATGCATCTTCTGCATGAAGTTAATAAAAAGCAAGTACACATAGTAGAAAGTGCCCGGGATTACATTCCAGAAACCCTGGTTGTCTGAATTTTGGCTCTGTCTCTCACCAGTCTTATAAACCTCTTCCTCTCTCCCTAAAATGAAAATATACCTCAAATGATTATGGAGATAAAAAAAAACACACATAAAAGATACTACAACAGAGACAGTAATAAAGGAAGCACTAAATTGTAAAGGTTTTCCATCTTGATTTTTCTCCCAGAACCAAATCCTACAAAATAACGTTACCTGGTTTGCTGAATGGAAGTGACGAAATTACAGCAAAGAAGACATTTCCCCACCAAAGACTCCTAGTGGGAAAAACTCTTATTTCTTCTGGAACAGCATTTTCTCTCCATTTCTTCTGGGAAATGCCCCCTTCTCCTCCCCATTTACTCCCCCGCCTCTCCTCTCCTCACCAACTCTTAGCAAGTGGTTTGAATGAAAGCTGCTATCATGTTTCAGATTTCAGTCTCTCTAGTCTACACAAACAAGGGTCACAGGCTGGGCCGATCACAGAACCCCACCCTCCGGGCCTCAGCTGGAGAAGGGAGGAACTGGCCCAACACAAACGGACCAATCCGTCCTTCTCCGTTATTCACACTGGAAAGAAGAGTGCAAACTGTCAGCAGCCAGTTTCTGCCAATGAGCAAAAAACCAACCTGAAAGAAGGAACTTGGCAAAGAGAAGCAGATATGAGAGGCCAAAAAAAAAATCCTAGTGTGACTGGGGTCTCTGATTTCAACTGAACCTATATTCCTGCCATTCTTTGCCTAAGGTAGCTCAAATGTGACTGAATACCGACCTCAAATAAAAACTGCAATCAAGTTATTATTGCAATTTTGCTAAATAACTTTCCATTCACGGTTTTTACATTGCTATTCCATCTCTTCTCTCCTTTATGAGCAATTCCCAAATACAACTGGTCTTAGTGAGGGGGGAAAAAAATCTCTTTTGTTTTTTAACTGTGGAACAATCTATATTTATTAAGTCTCCAATTCCTCAAACCTCAGTTAAAATATCAGTATGGGGCAGCCAGGTGGCTCAGCTGGTTAGAGCACTTGCTCTGAACAACAAGGTTGTCGCTTCAATTCCCACATGGGCCAGTGAGCTGCACCCCCCGCAACTAGACTGAAGGACAACAACCTGACTTGGAGCTGATGGGTCCTGGAAAAAACACAGTTACCCAACAAAAAAAAATTTTTTTAAAGAAATATCAGTATGCTTCCTGCCTCTGACCTTTAAATTTACTTAATTTCTAAACCCAAGGTTTTTATTTTTCTCAGTTGAAAAACAGATGTAAACTGTGTAAATCACCTAAACATAACATATTTCGAGAGGGTAAAGTTTGCCACCTAAATAAGAGACATTCCCTATTTCTACACCTACTAGCCCTTCAATTTTGAGTTTGTTGTTCATGGACCATTATCATTAAGTCTTCTCATTTCAGGTTACGCCTTTCGAGCCCTAATTTAAATCCACCATTTACAATTTTTGATTCCTCTTAGGCTCAACTCTAGTAGAAACTGCAGCAATTTAATCTTTTCATTCAGTATGATTAAACTTTAATAAAACTTCAAATTCGGCTTTAGTCAAATCAACTTGCCTCCCAAAATAATTTGAAAGTCAAAAATGGCAAGAATATGGAACACCCAATTAAAGCTAGAGTTAAACACCATAGTATTTTGAGACCAAACCACTGTTTTTTAAACTTTTGGTATTTCTGCTTTCTAGGCAGTCTCCACACGAGCCGAAGAACAAGAACCAGAAGCCAGCAGTTGAAATGGACTCCTGCTGACTATAGTGGTTCAGCTTCCATGGAAACAACAACGAAGTGATGGAAATACTGGGAGGCTTTTTCATGTAACCTTAAACATACATACTATGACTCCTTCCCTATCAGCCCCTTAAAAGTAGGTCACAACCACTGCTGATCAATGGCGGCAGTCAAGCATGAAAACCACCTCTTGCAGCTTTCTGCTGCTGGGTACTTACTGAGGTTTATGAGACCCGAACTAGAAAGAAAAGAGTAATGTATAGATTTCAGGAATACTTCTAACTGATCAAACAACTGATAGACGTGCCTTTAAACAGATTTTAATTGATTACAAATTTTTAATTGATTCTAACTTGAATTTCATTTTCACTTTAAAAAACACACCACCCATGATTATTTTTCAAGGAAAACTAGGTTAACTGGAATTCAATTTTTAATCCCAGAAGAGGTCAGTAATATATCCATGTAGACACTTAATAACTGCTCTTAAAAATGGATACATATTTTACATTCTAAACCAATATATTCACTATGTTTCTCTCCATTTCTGTAAATCATTCAGATAGAGCAGGAATTTCCATTGGGCTTTGGCATTCAAAAGAGAAAACCTGCTCCCCAAAAAGATGTCTTATGTATTCACTGTATCAACCTGTATTTCTTTACCTTGTCATCTCTGATCAGGAGAGAGGATGGAAATAGGGAGATTTAAAGTGTAATCTGTGAAGAGAATGTAGCTAAAGAAAAATGGCAAAAAAATTCCAAAGCTGTCACTGAAATTTGGGAAACACTGGATTGCCTACCCTGCACTTCTCAGAGCACCGACTGCTTTCAAGTTACTAAGTGGGGTTTTATAGAAGGCATAGTGTATAGATAATAGAATCATGAAATTCTTATTTACCCAAGAAGCCATCACCATTTGGCACTCCTTCATTATATCAAATTCTATTTACAAGGGATATATTACCTTCCTTTTATAGCTAAAGAAATTAAGACTTGGGGATATGAAAGGCCTTCTCAGTTACAAAGTTAACATAAAAGCCTAAAACTCAACCAGGTCTTACAACACCACACATTTTAAGTAACTAAATTTGAATTAGATTATTCTACTGTTACTGAGCAGAACAATAAAAATACACAGTACAGGACAAGTACAGGTGAGTACGGGAACAAAGAAAAAAAGGGGGGGAGCCTATCGGACAACACAGCAGAGTGGAATCGGAGAAACAGAAGGGACTGAAGGTGGCAGACAAGCACGCAGGAAAAGGGGAGCTACAAACAGGTATAAATCTCATACCACGTAAAAGAGAGTGGGCCTTTCTGAGAAAAACTGGTCCCTCAAACATCCTTGTTACTCAAGGACTTCCTTGGGAAACAGAGGTCTTTTCTCATTGAACCCACAAAAAAAGCAAAAAGGCATTTTTACTCACAGAACTAATCAAAATCAGTTTCACGAACTAGAGTAAAAAGTAGTTCTTACAATTCTGTTATTCTTCCCTTAATCCCTAAAAAGAGTATAGCTAATGTGTCGTCTCTGGTTCGACAAGAGGAAAACACTGCAGGGAGAACTGGCCATGTTAGACTTCTTGAAAGACAGTATGTCTACACCTGTATTTCATGGGAAATTTTAAGGAATTTTTAAGACTATTTTGACTATACTTGATTTTCATTACATACACAGAATTTAATCCCCACATAAGACTCTATTTAGTCACATCTCATATTTCTCTACTCCACAAACACTTTCCAATAGGCCCTACGGCGCTATCTACCGTCTTGGTCAACCATGCTTAGTTTTCATTCAGATTTATCACATTAGAAAAAACATCCAAACCAACCTGGGTGAGCTGGAATGAGTTTTTGTTTGTTGGTGCTTTTTTTTTTTTTACAACTTTAATCACATAAAAGAATACGCCTGTTTGAGATGGCCTTGGTGGTTACAGTTTTTCTTTAAGTGCTGATTTATTACATTTAATGGTATTTTGTTCTTTTCAGGTATAGCCTACCATTTATGACTTATGCTAAGTGTTCTGACAACAAAAGGCAACCTTGAGAAGAACAGTAATTTATTGTTCTACACATCCACAACTCTGGAGCCATCAATCAGCCTGTCTGTGTATAACAGGAACCCGGTCAGTCGGGGAATCTGCTTCAC